ATGTTGTATATTTCATTATGAATTTTTTTTTGCAGATTCTTATGAATAATAAAATATTGTTATATTAAAAGCGTTTAAATGATTTAGTATTTATTAAGTACAAACTAACATTAATATGAAAAACCTTGCATGATTAAAATTCAAGCAAGTGAGAGCTTGCCATTGAGGAGATGGATTCTCTGTTAGAAAATCAAACTTGGGAGTTGGTAGAATTTTCATCTGGGAAGAATACATTACACAACAAGTGGGTGTACCGGGTGAAGACTGAGCATGATGACAGTAAGAGATACAAGACTAGACTTGTTATAAAAGGTTTTCAGCAGAAGCACAATATTGATAATTTCGAGATTTTCTCTCATGTGGTGAAGCTTACAACCATCAAAATGATTCTGACTATGGTGGCTACTGAAGATCTCTTCCTTGAACAGTTAGATGTGAAGATCGTTTTTCTTCATGGAGATCTTGAAGAAGACAACTACATGCATCAACCTGGTACAAGGAAAGAAAGAGTCAGTTTGCAGATTGAGGAAGATCTTGTATGATTTGAAGCAAGCTTCTAGACAGTGGTATAAGAAATTTGATAATTTCATGCACAGTGCAGGTTGCAACAGATGTCAGGTAGATCACTGTTGCTATGTCAGGTATTTTTATAATTCCTCCTACTGTTGTATGTGGATGATATGCTTATTGCAGGGGCTAGTATTGATGAAATCGATAATTTGAAGGAGCAGATGTCAAAACACTTTACAATGAAGGATTTGGGAGCGACAAAACAAATCTTTGGCATGAGAATTGTCAGAGAGAGTCAGAGGCATGTTGAGACTCTCTCAGGCTGAGTATGTGAAATAGGTACTTAGCAGTTCAACTTGGATAAGGCCAAACCAGTTGGCACACCCTTGGGAAGTCACTTGAAACTCAGCAAGAATCAGTCACCCAAGTTGGAGGATGAACGAAACCACATGAGTAAGGTTCCTTATGCTTTAGCTATTAGTTCACTTATGTATGCTATGGTTTGCACCAGATCTGATATTGTCTGATATTGCCCATGCAGATTGCCCATGCAGTGAGAGTTGTTAGCACATGCATGAATAATCCAGGAAAGGAACTTTGAGAAGCAGTGAAGCGGATTTTGAGGTGCCTAAGAGGCTCTGTAGAAATTTGCTTTTGTTTCTCGGGAAGTACAATGTTATGTTGATGTTGATCCAGTTGGAGACATTGATACTAGAAGAAGTACTACGGGTTATATTTATACTCTTGGTGGCACAACAGTGTCATGAGATTCTAATCTACAGAAGACAGTCTCGTTGTCTACTACAGAAACTGAGTATATAGCAGTGTCAGAGGTTGCAAAGGAGTTGATCTGACAACAAAACTTCTTGAAAGAATTGGGCAAGAAGAATCAGAAGGACATTTTCTACAGTGATAGTCAGAGCGCCATATTTTTTACCAGGAATCCAGCATTTCAGTCCAGGACTAAGTATATTCAGATCAGGTATCACTTCATACGGTCATTGTTGGATGACAGACAATTATTTCTTGAGAAAATTTATGGAAGTCAGAACCCTGCTGATATGTAAACAAAGGGTGTTATGCTTGAGAAACTGAAGTTGTGCGCAGCTTCAGTTGATCTTCTAGCTTGAAGACAGGGGCCTTGAGTTGCAGAGGTGGAGGATTCATGTTTAAAGAAAAGGGTTATGCCGTAAGTTGAGGATATCAGTTTGAGGAATAAGATATTGTTGCCAGTGTATCAGTTTCCAAGTGGAAGATTTTTTGTTAAAAGTGGAGCCGGACCCACTTATATCTAACAATTTTGAGATTAAAAGGCCGCATCTCCTCACTTCCTTGTTAACCGATCCCACCTGTTCATGTAAAAAAAAACTGTTCCCGACATCTTTAAATTAAGCAGAATAAAATTGTATTTGATGGTTTCTTAAGCAGCAATTCTCCAGAAAATTAGTTCCGAGTGCGTGTGGCTTACGGGAAAAAGCAAAAGGCAAAAGGCGGAACTTCTTGCAGAGTAAAAAGGCGTGAGACGTGAACCAGAGGAAGGATGCAACAAATATCGCATAGCAAGCTCGGCGTGCTTGGCAGAACGAAGAAGGTTGTTTCTTCTTGAAAGCTTGCGACAGAAGACAAATAGATTTTCTCTTATATTTTTTCTTCTTCTTCGGTGTATCTCATTGTAAAGAGAGAAGAGTGAAGAAGTGAGAAAGAGTTTGCTCTTGTAAGTGGAGATGATTGGCTGGTGTAAATTCCTCAATTAGTAAAATTCTCTGCAACTCCGTGGTTGTAGGCAAAAATTTGCCGAACCACGTAAAACTGTGTGTTATTTTTTATTGTGAATTTTCTCGTTCTATTTTTTCGCTTCGTCGTCGTCGATCTTTCTATTTCAATATACCATAACAGGTATGACAATATTTTTTGTTTCTTTTGGAATTTCTCAAGGTTTTTCATTTCTAATCAGCATATTTTTAAAATGTACACCTAACTATGTTTATTAAGTATAAAATAAATTATTTTGCACAAATTATAGAAGCTAATAGCTCGGCCCTAAAATACAACTAATAGAATATTTGCAGGAGACCCATCGCCAATTTTTTATGCATGTATGCCCTCTCGCGCTAATTGAGCCATCCAGATCATTGTAAAATTTATGCTATCTAAGTTGACTAATGGGTTGGAAAATCAAACTTTGTTCGAGAGCTTCCTTAATGCTTTTTTTTTTTTTGCCAAAATAATTTACTGTATTCAACATAATGGTGCATCCATCCAAAAACCATTTCTATATTGTTTGCTTCAAAAAATTAAATAAAATAGTCACTAGATACTAGTGTGCACTTATAGTAATAATATTGATGCTCTCTAAAATATAGGTTATTTAGTTGTATTGGCTTCCAAGATGAAAGCACAAGTTGACGTCTTAAAGTCAACTTCATTCTTTAGATAGGCAGCTATGACTAAGTTCTCTAAATGAATTTTGTAAATGTGCCTGTAGCACTCAACTCTTTTGTAAGTTGTGAAAACCAAGTAATTTTTCTTGTTGCAATTATTAATTTTGAATTTTACTGTGATATTCAATGCAACAGGATGAATGCAAGTTTCACAATCTCTCTAGAATAATGGTTGGTAAACTATAGACAATGCTATTATGTCTATTAAAGATAAATATAATCTTTTCATTATTTATTGACTCCCTTGATTTAATCATGAAGTATACCCATATATTATTTTTTTAGTCAACTATTATAAATGCTATTGGGTAAATTTGAGTATTAGTATCTTGCGCCACCGCCATAAGTTCACATCATGTATTTATAAATGTTCCATCTACACTTAATCTTGGTGGACTTATCATTTGAAGCCTTGAATACAATAACTTAGAACGAATTATTAATACTTGAAATATCTGGCACTATCAAGCTCAAGATCAACAATTGTTATTAATTTTCCCCTTTAGCATAATCATATATGATAGTAACTTTATAAAGATGCTTTGGGCGATTCTTTTACATAGGTGGTAACTTGCTAGCAATATTGCCAAGTCTTCTTGTAAAGATAAATTAATATCTTAGTGTTTCATCCTGTATGATAAAGTGCCCAATGAGCCATGATTGAGCTTGTTTATGGAATTTTTATTGAACATTCGACTACAGTTGTGTTCAAATTTATGGCTTTTGATCTCAAACACGTTTGATTTTGTTAAATTTTCTGCTCACAAGTTCTCTCAACATTTTTCAGGAGTGCAACAGATATATCAAATATCTGCACTTGCTTTTGAATCTTAAATTGAATGTTCTTTTTCATTACTTATAGATGTAACTTTCTCTTTAATTCATTTCTGCTATTAAATAATTGCACAACTCCTAGATACATTGATTTTGTTAAATTTTCAGCTCACAAGTTCTGTGTTAGAGCTCCTTCAAAATTACCTAATTCAGTTAGATCATATGATATGCGATACACGCATGAATGAAGACTTCCATCTGATGTCACTGTTAAACTAATATTTCCAATTGAAGCTTTCCATTCTACCATGGTTGTTTCTTTCTGTTGAATTCAGAAATCACAAAACGATTGAATGATGAAATCAACAAATCTGCGTTGTGAAAAGGTGGAACATCGTTCTTCATAGATAGTGGGGATATAGACATAGATTGGGTATTCAAACTTCTGACTGTATTTCTTCAAAAATAGCGGCGACCATTTTTGGTAGATTATGGCTATTATGAGGCATAAAAAAGTTATTCTTTTTAAAAAACTAAACAAATATAGCGCAAAACAAATATTTTCTTGAATCAAAGAGCCAAGGGTTTGCCGTTTACTTACACACTAGTAATTTTATTTTTCAAGTTTAATCAACTACAAATCAGTACCTATAAAGTTAGCTTCTCCTCAAGAGAAATTTGTCAAAAAAGAAAAAAAAAAAGAAAAAAGAAAAAAAAAAGGGATTTGTGCTCAAAATTAATTGAAAGATATGCTCCGTCTAAGAATAGGGATATGATCGATTTAAACTTAAATTCTGTATGATATAAAGCAAAGTGGGTGGCATAGGCTTCAATAGTATAGGTATCAGTCTTCAAAAACATTATTTTTGGAAGGCTTCAACAAAACTCAAGAAAATGAGCTTTTCCAAGAAACTATCAGACTGACATTAAGTTAATTTTAAGTTAACTTGCCCAGACTGTTGTTTAACTGAAGGACCATATCTCGTTCTCTGGAAAGTTAGATTTTATTTATCTTTTTATTCTTCCGAAAAATTAGATGCAAAGGTTTTGTTTCTGTTCCTAAAACTCTTATTTAGCCATTATTTCTCGGCCAAATAAAATCTAGTTAAAGTAGCATTCTTTGTAGAACTGCATTTCTTAAAATCCTTTGATTAGTTTATTGTTTCTATGACATGTAATCTCTTAATGAGCATATTACAACTTAACAGTGTTTATTTTGCACTCATGCGTGCAATTTTCTCTTACCTATATGCTTCTTTGATTCTGTTTGAACAGGACAATGACCTTTCTGAATTTGATGAATCTCGAGAAATAATAGAGAGCTTAGTTGATGAATACAAGGCATGCGAGTCTCCAGATTACATCAAGTGGGGTATGGAGGTAGGTTCGTGTAGGAACTTTAAATGGGGCATTTACGTACATACCACATAATTCTTACATATTTACATATATAACACCTAAAGTTTCATATTTACATGCATCACGCAAAAAGTTTTAATATCACGTCAGAAAACAATAGTTGTTTTTAAATTAAGATATTTCCTTAATACATAGGTTTATGACATCAAAATTTATAAAATATAAATATGGATGTGGCACATGGGTCAATACGACTATTCTGCGGAATTCGACGTTTCTGCGGATCACAAACTACATAGACTCATATTTTAGCAAATTTTTTTTCCTTTTTTATTTCATTTCTATTTCTTCTTTTTTTTTTTAAATTAGGTTATTTTCTTTTATGAGATTTTTTATAACATATATTTTTTATAACTCATATTTTCAATTATTCAAACTTTTGATTCGATTTGCATGTTTTACAAATATAATCTCTGATTTATACACGAATGTAGTGCTGTATTCTTTTTCTTGTACAAGTGGTATGTATATAGCTTATGCAGGGATAGGTGGTAAAACTCCTCGACAATAGTTTATCTTTGTTCAACGCTATCTTTACTGTTTTTAGCGGGATAACTGTCGAACGATTAACCTCATCCAGACACCGTCGAACTACCCCCTCACAAAACCCGCTTTCTAAACACCTCGAATAGTATCATCTGGTATCAGAACCCAATAAACTCTAAATTTTTAAGGATTTATTTTTCTTACATTAAATTTAAATTAAAAAAAAGAAAAAAATTAACAATGCCCAAAGTATTCATATTTCTATTCCCAGCTCTAACCTTAGATTTTTAAAATCTAACCTCTCTACCTTCACTTTATTTTCATCCCTACACCTACCAATCTTTAATTTGCAATTCTACATCTGTTTAATACCTAATATGAAGAAAATGACACAATGCTGCTAGGAGAAATCCATAATGAGATGTCCGAGAGCTTACTATGGAGGATAGACAGTGAGAAATTCTTCAACTGCAACAGAAGCTTGTTGTTTTCGAGTGAGATAATCTGATGAGGTCATGTGTAGCCATATCAGTGACTCACTAGATTGAGAGAAGAAAGTGAGTCCATTCCACCAACTAATTTCCAATGATGAACTAATAATCCAATGATTTAATATGGAATATCAAAGGTGAAATTATGATCTTAGAGAAGAATTAATTTACCGGATTTTAAGAGTTCCATTGATCCTGACGAGTTTATTGAGTACAAAGGCGTCCCCCAAGACGAAAGTTAAATTTATAGGTACTAAATTCAGGAAAAACTTCTTTGTGGTGGGGGAACTTGAAGTGCTTACGCCATCATGAGGGGAAAAGTAAAATTACTATATGGTCTTTAGATAAAAAGGGAGATGCGGTGCAAGTACCTTCCCCTGCATTACCGACAGGATATATTTATAACAGTCCACAGCTTGTACTAGTGAGACTATTTAATGGAGTACACAACTGAATTTTATCAGCTCATGTTGAAATGTGAGTTGGTGGAACCAAAGGAGCATGCAATTACAAGATAACTTGCAGGATTGAGACCATCCAACGTGGTACAGTTGCAACCCTATTGTACATTACAAGACGTGCAAACTCTACCTTGAGAGACAACACAACAGTATCATGTTCACACTCCTCTCAAATAAGATTCAACTATCATATCCGGTAACCGGAGTACATCCAACGGAGCATCCCAACCTACCTTGCCCAAGGAAAAGCCAATCAAGAGTAAAGAACAGGTGGAACAACGAGCACTCCTAAATTCGTCTAAGCTAACAAGTTCTTTAAGTGACACGGTATTAGGCACATTGCATCAACTTGATCAAACAAGATGATGATCACATTCACTGAGTAGGGTGTAGTTGATGAAAATTGACAGTGACAGGAGGTGAGACGCCAAGGAGGAGTATCTTATTGTAGCCAACGAGAGAGAGATTCTAGTGATTCAACCTCAAACCCGTTGGGAAAACTTCAACGGAACTAATATTGTTTGTTTTATAAGGTAGTGAGTCCGAGGTAATGGGCTTTCATATAGAGTTTGAGGATGTGTCTAGAGCTACCTTCTTTGTAGATGTAAAAGAAGCATCAGCGGGACTGATATTGGTTGTCCAAGAAAGCCATGAGCTTAAGGAGCTGATACCAAACACAAGATAACCCCAGATAAGAGAATTTCAATATTTCCACGCATGCAATCGACCTCCAGAGGAGATCCAACATGCTAGAATTGTGAAACATTTTAGCTATTTATGGGAGGCTATATGGAGTTATTTGCGTATTAAATTCCAGTTCAGTTCATCAATGTCGTCCTAGGCCAATGGCGAGACAGTAGTGGTGAACTGTAGCTTTGAAAATCACCATAGATGTTTTGTTAGAATGACCAACAGGTAGTGGGATTCAAATATTTCTAGAGAAAAAATGTCTACTTGGGGAGAATGATGCAGGCATCATTACCATGAGTCCTTCATATCACGAAATCTGATGTTTCCATTGATCCCAATCCGCATCGCTAGTGGGATTGTGATAGGGCGTCGACTCTCAAATTTTAACAAATTTTTATCCTTTATTATTTTTCCTATGTCCTTAATGAAATTAGTTGATACTATAATTCATATAAAAATAAATATCTTATGTATTCAAGAAACTAAATGAGTTGGAGAAAAGGCTAAGGAGATCGATAATTTAATTTTAAACTTTGGTATTCAAATAAGAGTCGCACTAGGAATGATGTAGGTGTGGTTTTAGATAAGACTTTGAAAAATAATGCTATAAAAATTAATAGAATTGAAGATAGAATTATATCACTTAAAATTGTTGTTAATATTTAGTTTTTTGATATTATAAGTGCTTATGCTTCTCAAGTAGGTTTAAATATAGGTTCTAAAGAACAATTCTGGAATGACCTAGAAGAATTAATACAAATGTTACCTCTTGAAGAAAGAATTTGTATTGGAGGAGATTTAAATGGACATGTTGGTAGAGTAGTAGAAGATTTTAAAATTATTCATTGTGGCTGCAATTTTGGAAAGACTAATGAAGAAGATAAAGTCATATTAGATTTTGCTCTAGCGTATGATTTTGTTATTACTAGTATTTTATTCAGGAAAAGAGATGAACGTATTATTACCTGAAAGAATGGATATAATAAAGTACAAATATATTATTTTCTTATGAGAAGAGATCGTCGAGAATGTAAAGATTTTAATGTCATTTCAAGTGAAAATTTAAGCACTCAACATCGATTATAAGTTTTACATTTTAAGTTATGAGTTGTAAAATAAAGAATATTAGGAACCATTATCATATAATTTAATGGGGACTCCAAAAAGGCATTAATAAATTTATTTTTATGAGTAAACGTGAAGGTTTCAATATTTGGGATGTACATGAAGAAGCAAATTTTATGTGGGATAAAGTTACAAACACTATTAGATATGTGGTAAAAGTTGTACTTTGAGAATCAACAGGAAATGTTTCTATACATAAAAATGGTTGGTGCTAGAATAATAATGTGGAAAAAAAGATAAAACATAAGAAGTTATGTTAAAATTTGTTTAAATGTAAAAGTTTAGAAAAATGTGAAAAATATAAAATGACCCGTAAAGAGTCTAAGAGAAGAATTTGTGAAACTACAAATTCTGCTTTTAGTTATCTTCATGATAGATTAGATATTAAAGTGAGTAAAAAATATATGTGCAAACTAGCGAAACAAGAGAAAAGAAAAGTAAAAAAATTAACTCAAGTGTATTGAAGATGAAAATCAAAAAGCATTTTTATTAAAAAAATATATTCAACATAGGTGGAAGAGCTATTTTGTTAAACTTCTCAATGAAGTTTTTGAAAATACGATCGACCTTAATGATCTTAATATCATTAATAATAATAATAAAACATTTTATTTTTACCATCGTATTAGTAAAAAAGAAGTTGAAAAGACTTTAAAAACAACTAAGGGTGGAAAGTCTGTAGGACTTGATGATATCCGAATTGAAGTTTAGAAATTTTTAGGAGATTTGAGAGTTTCTTGACACACTGAAGTCTTTAATATTATTTTAAAAACTAAAAAGGTGTTTGAAGTGTGGAGGAAGGGTATCTTGATTCCTATTTTTAGGAATAAGGGGGATGCAAGGGTGTGCAAATTATAAAGGAATTAAGTCGATGTGTCATACTTTAATATTATAGGAGAGGGTAATTGAACATAGGTTAAGATGTATTACAAAGATTTCTCATAATTAGTTTGGATTTATGCCGGACTGGTCTACTATAGAAGACAGGTCTACTATGACAGGTCTACTATAGAAGTTATATATTATTGAGAGGTTTGATGAAGAAGTACATAGAGAATAAGGAGGATCTATATTTGATTTTTATTTATTTAAAAAAAGCTTACGATAAGGGTTCGAAGAGAGTTTTTTGAGAGTTTTAGAAAAGAACAGTTTAGATGTGACATATATTCAAGTCATTAAAGATATGAATATTAGAGTTGTTACTTGTGTTCGAACAGGAGGATTGATCAAATATTTTCCTGTTTTAGTTGGATTACATCAGGGATCAGCTTTAAGCCCATTTTTTTTCTTCAGTTATGGATGCTCTTATTGGACATTTACTACTGGACATTTACAGGAGGATGTACCTTGGTGTTTGCTTTTTGCTGATGATATTTTTTTTGTGGATAAGACTAGAGAAAGAGATCAGAAAAAACTTAAATTATGGAGGTCCACTTTGGAGTCTAAAGGCCTTCATTTGAATAGAACTAAAACTGAGTACATGGAATGTAATTTTAGTAGTAGCTCTAGTAACAGAGTTATAACTATGGGTGATCAAATTATTAAAAGTGTGAACGCTTTAGATATCTTGGGTCTATTGTTCAAAGTGATGATGACATAGATGGGGATGTTATTAGTAGAATTCAACTTGGTTGGTTGAAGTGAAGAAATGCTTCAGGCTCATTGTGTGTTTAGAAAAGTATCGCTTAGACTGAAAGAAAAATTTTTTAAGATGATGGGGAGACCTGCAATGCTCTATGGCGCAGAATGTTGAATGTTGGCGTTGGCCTTTAAAAGGGAAGCATAGAACTAAGTTAAGTGTTGCCGAGATGAGAATGCTAAGGTCGATGAGTGGCTTTACACTTCAAAATGCAAAATGAATTTATCCGTGATAAGGTTGGTGTAGCTCTAGTGGGGGGAGAAAATTAGATAGAGTCATTTTAGATGGTTTGGTCACCTTAAACGTCGGTCATTTGATGATCCGATTAGGAGAGTAGATGTTTTAGATTTGACATATGTTAAGAAAGACAGAGGTAAACCTAGAAAGACTTGTTTATTATATAAAAAATTATCTTAATTTATTAGAATTAAATGAAAACATGACACTCAATAGGACCATGGAGAAAAAGTATTTATATAGCTGGGATAAAGGTTTGCTGTTGTTGTTTGTTGTTGCTATTTCTAAATAGAGTAATTTCTATCATGAGACTATTTATATCTTATATTACCAATTTTTTAAGAACTGATTTAGTTTGTGTGTTTAGAGATTGTATTTTTGATTTCTACTCTAATGGAGTGTTGCATTTTTTTTTTTGCCAGTCGTATGTTTATAGCTTGTGCAGAAATGTGGTGAATTTGCTCCACATGCGTACCTCATCTTTTCAGTGCTTTCTTTGTTGTTTTTAGCCGGGACAACCTCCTAGTGATATTTATCCCACTCCAAAAGTCGTCAAACTCATATATTCTTCCCTTACCATTCCACAATCACGTCCCCACAAAGCCCGCTTTCTAAATATATTGTAGAAGCCCTAGAACACTATCAAGAAGTAGGGGTGTAAACAAGCCAAACAGGAGCGAGCCCAGGCTCAACTCAAGTTCGGCTCGTTTATATTTCGTGCTCAAAAAGTGTGTTCGAGTTCGCCGCGAGCCGAACACGAGCCGTTCACGAATAAAGAGTCGTTTTGACAACCCTAATCACGTAGTCATAAGATGTTAAAGATTGGGGCAAGATTTAAAAATTATTGTTTATATTAAACATCATTTGAATCTAAGTTAATAATTTTAGTTTTATATTCGTAATTGATACTTTAATGATTATAAATATTTGTAGTTTTGTAGTCAATTGATTAGTAGTATTTCGAACCAAAACGAGCCGAACACGAAAGAACAAATCTTTGTTTGTGTTATTCGTGTTCGGCTCGTTAACTTAGCGAACGAGCCGAACACGAGCCTCTTAACCAGTCGAAAACGTTTGCAAACATCGAGCCATTTTGACAACCCTATGAAGAAGTTTAGGTGTTAGATATAAGAATACATATGAATTGTGGTATGTATGTACTTTTTCCATTTTAAATTCTCTTTCCGAAACAAGGAGGTTTCACACGCATAATAAACTTATGAAATGCAATTAAGCAGAATTCGGATAGGGCTTTAACCAGCGAAGGAAGTCTTGCCGGATCGTTGGATTCGAAGTTAACTCTATGACCAAGTAAGATTTGCAGATTATTTTTTGTTATTTTAACTGTTATTAATTAGTCTGTCTAACATGGATTTACTCATGTTAATTAAAGAGGATTCTTTCTTATAGCGAATATCTTGAGACTAATTTGCTCTAAATGTTGTTGCCCATATTGCTGGCATTGGTGTGAAGCATGTACCCATCCCACCATCATGTGCATAAAATGATTACAGTTTGTGCTCGTTTTGATCCTGCTTTTTTTTTTTTCTCTTCTTTTTGAAGCTGTAGATAACCGTATATGGTTTTATTTTCAAATTTGAAGATTCTGATAGTTTGTGCTGCCATGTATGAATCTTTCATGAGATGCAGAACATAAATGTATACGTTGTTAAATTTGACCTGAGATCAGCAGCTGTGAAATTTGAATTTTATCAATATCTAATTTCAGCTCATTAAGATTATTTTAACTTCATCTTATTTTACTTGTGTTTATTTTTTTGTGAGACATCGATAATAATAGAAAGAGTATAATCCTCAAATAAAGCTGGATTTAGTAAATCTGAAAAAGGGCTAAATCCCAAAAATTGCTTGGCTAGCGAGTAAATCTAGTTAAATCATGTGAAATTATTTGGTTATTTATTTGAGGATTTAAAAATTTATTATATTTAAAAATTCATAATTAAATTTTAATTATTTTTTTTATTATTATTGAACATAATTATTTAATTAATTTTAATTTTATTGAATTTTTTTTATATTTAAAATTACGAGAAAAAGTATTATTGAAAAAATATTTATAATAATTTATTCATTTAAATCATGAGGAAAAATAATATAGCCGGATACATAGAAGCGCTCTTAAAGCGAAAGTTTAATCTTGTAATCAGCCTATCGAAAGCATCAAAATAATCGAAATAACGTAAACAGTTTATGTATGTAATTTCAAACCACTTGAATATCTCAAAGTTTTATAGCCATACTTATTTTCTTGTGTAATCAAAGCAATCCATTTTAAAAATCTATATATGTACGCATGGTATAAGCTCGATTAAGCCCATGTCAATTTTCATGGAATGGGTGTGGGATCGTTGTATCTAACAATGTTCAAGAAACACATCTAAGGAATAGAGGGTAACACAATGAAGGAAGAAAAATAGTAGGGGACGACGGGATTGCATAACCTTTAATTATGAAATAATTCCTATTAATAGGCATAGGGGCATTATTTTTTAAAATTACATATCTTCACCCTAATCATTAGTTCTTGGGGGATCTTTCACTAAATTACAAAATATTGAGTAGAATATTGAATAAATATGATGTGTTGGCCTGTCTGATCAGTCTTAGGTCTGTCAATCGTTCGCCAGCCTTAAATGTTTGTCATAGATTTCGTAGTTAATTTCTAGTCGACAGTAAAGCAATTAACCAGCTGGTTATGCGAGGAGAGGGTCGTTAAGAAATTTGATCCTTGGATATCTTGTCCTAGGAATGTAGATCGACAGAATATATCAAGTCGATCATTAGCGATTGCTCGAACCCACCATTGGTCGTCTGACTCATCATCTGTCATTTAGTTGTTGCAGGCGATCGCACGACCCTCCATCGATCGTTCAACCCACCATCTGTCATTTCTCTCATTAGACGTTGAATTGTGAGATACATTATGATGTATTTTTTTGTATACATATTTAATTCCCCTATTCTTTTGCTTTTTGAAAATAGTGCTGCGAATAAGAATAAGAAAATCTTTTCTAACATAAAAATACAAGCATGAAACAAAATTTATGCAACATAATTACACAATAAATGAATTTCCTAGATTTCCATGCTCATGCTATTATAAATAGAATGTGATGCGCAGTTGGTTGCACTTGTTCTTCTCTTTCGCTTGATCTTCATTTCCTTCGCTCTTTTACATTTTCAGTGATGGTTACTGGGAGAGCTTCGGGCATTGATCGAGATGTGCTCCTCAAAGCACTTGCGGGTTTGCGAGCAAAAGCTCGGAAGTTAGATGCAAAATGAAGGCCGGGGAAGTGGTTTCAACAGGGGAAATAGGAAAGACAAGAAATGTGAAGCAATTAGAAGGCGACGATGATGAGGATCATATTCCATTGTAGATTCTTGGTATGGCCAAGCCCAAGAATGGTTCAAAGGTCAACGAAGCGTTACTTCGGCTGGGAACCCAGTTGCACAAACAACCCTACCATTGGGAAGACAACGACTGTTCAACCCATCGTGGAGCATCCAAGCCCTGGGACTGGTGGGAATTAGACAAAAGCTGGCGGGGATTTCTTGCCTCCGTCTTCTAAGGATGATCTTCCCCTTGTGGGCGGAGATCAGGTGAAAATTGGTGTGGGTGCATTTTCTATCACCACGTCTAACTAAAATCGGATCGTTGGTATGGGATTTTTAACTTAGTATTTTCTTGTGAACTTTTTCCTTTAGTACAACAACTTAAGTCCTGACAATCGATTCCTTTTCATCGGATCTGGGTCCTAATCCCGTGGAGGATGCGACCACCATAGATCAGAGGGCAGACAGACAAAAATAGTCTCACAATAAGGGACAGGGGGTCAATCATGAAGAGACCCCTGACACGACAAGGGACAGGGAAATAAAGGAGGGGCCCTCACCATCTTCGGATTTGTTGGCACATCACCTTGTGGAGATGGAGAAACTCTTTGCCTGTGTCATGGGACACCCTAAAGGGAATGTCGATCACGGAGACAAGGCTCTGTCGAGGGTTGATCTGATGGAGAGGGAGATAGTTGCTTTGCATGAGGAGTTTTTTCTTTTCGGCCGAGTGGGGATGATTGCCACTCTGGAGGAGATGATGCGCCTCTGTTTCAAGTTGGTGGCTGCCAGATGGTCCCTTTCCATTCAGACAAGGAATGGTTAGACTAACTTCTTTATGGTAGTGGTGAGTTCATGTGTGAGAGAATGTTTCACCAAGTGTTTGTCTCGAATAAGTTGCTGGCGATCTCCTGGAGAGGGTTTCACTCAAAGTAGTTTCGGAGGGTTAATGCAATGTGTAAAAAATGAAATAAAAATAATTAAAAATGTTTTTATTCTATTCTCAAAATTCATATTTGGTTTTTTACTTCTTCTCGATGTCTTGTCACACTGATGCGTCAAAACATACCGGGATGTAAGTTGGTTGTACAATACAAGTGTGCGTGTCAAGTAGTAATGCGGTTCAAGAGTATTGCATATTGATTACACAGGGAAAGTGTAATATTTGTTTTCAAAGAAAAATCTCTAGTTTACTAACTTAGTAAACATAGATTATCGTTTATCAAAAGAAAGTTTTTAAGTCCTAAGGTCCTACAAAACATATTACTAAGCAATTGAAAGAAAAGCAGAAAACAGAAGGATAGTTTATGAGTCACTTCAAAATAGATGAGGCTCGTGCCTCTGTGATTCGAGAATCATGGTGATTGTAATTTTTTCTAAATGTTTCCTACGTGATTTTTGCCAATCGGTGACATAATACTCCTTATGCCTATGTCCAGGTCAAAGAAGTATAGAATCCATGAAGTTGAGGTTTTCTCAATCCCCATTAAATTCGGCATGACTTTTCTAATCCCGTGGGATGATTGCAGAATTCCACTGAAATATGTCTATCATCTTCAAAATTTTGTGGTTAACCATCATCTCAAAATTTTGTGGTTAACCCTTCGTTTTCACTATGTAACGCTTACTGGTCGTAGTTTTTCAAAATATTTTAACTTCATAGTTGGCTAGACTAGGAACAATTTAAGTTCGAAGGTTAACCAACAACATAGGCCATGAAAGCACAAGAAAATGATTAACATAAAAAAATATGAAAACTCTACAAAAAATCCACTACTCTCTACATCACAAAGACATGAAGAAAATTTTAGTCACTCATTACTGAGAAAATCATAGTGAAAAACATGATTTGAAAATCCATTGCAAGCAACATAAATATGAACAACTCACAACAAATTGTTTCTTCTGCAAAGTCAGCACATTTCTCTCTTATATGAATTCTCTCAAAACTCACAAAGTAAGGAAAAAAATCTCCCTGAAAGATTTCCACCCAAGGAGGAAGACAACCCTTAAGAGATCCCTCAAAATCTCTCTAAAACTTGTTTTTTTCTGCCTCCAAGCCTTCTTTGATGCAAAATTTTTTGTCGAAGTGTCCAAGAGGCGAAGACGAATTTCTCTCATGAAAAAAACATATTTTTAGCTAGGTTTACATTAAGAATCCAAAATAGGCAGCTAAGCTATCTAAAATTTGTCAATGAGTTAAAAATCCGTAAGAAATCCTGCAAAATATGAGTCAGGACGTGTGATGGCTTGGTCACGCCTGGCCCGGCGTGGTCGACAACGACTTTATATATGCTTAGAAATATAAGAATTTAATACTGTTGCTAGAAGATTTAGGTCCCCGGCAACGACACCAAAAACTTGACAACGATTATAGATTTTTTTTAAAATGTGTATAAAATATTCAATAATTGCAAAGCCACACTTATCAATGCAAGTATACGTATCGCTTGCAAGTATACGTATCGCCAAGTATACGTATCGCTCAAGTAATACAGAGCTTTAATGGAGTCCTGGATATTGATCCCGCAGGGAGTAATACTAGAGGCTACGAACTAGGATTTAGAAAATAAGTACTTAATCACAACAATACAGTTCAAATTGCTTATTTGTCACTAATAGGCAAATGAAATAAATATGTA